AACAAGAGTCACAAAGGCCAATTTTGGTTGCTCAAGGGTGAGGAAGGAATGCAGGATGGAGGAAAGACCACTAAGGTCTGGGGGTGCAACAGAAGGTCAATTCAAAAGTTTTACGCATTTTCTACAGTATAACCCTAACCTTCCCAACATTCGGTGACACACAGAAAGATAAACATTATACAGTCGTACCTCGGAAGTCAAACGGAATCCGTTCCAGAAGTTCGTTTGACTTCCAAAGTGTTTGGAAACTAAGGTGCGGCTTCCGATTGGCAGCAGAAAGCTCCTGCAGCCAATCGGAAGCCGTGTCAGACGTTTGTGTTCCAAAGAACGTTTGCAAACCGGAACACTCACTTCCAGGTTTACGGTGATCAGGAGCCAAAATGTTTGAGTCGCAAGGCATTCATCAGCCAAGGTAGGACTGCAATAAATTAAAACAGGCAATTAAAAACATCAATTGTGATTGCATGTTGTATGAAAGCAATTTCTAGACAGGATAAAGTGAAATCTCTGTGTAAAGTCAATTCAGCAACTCTGAGCACCTCCAGATTGTCACTATTTTCAGGTAGGATTCGCAATTACAGTTGAATGGAAGGTCTTGCACAACAAACCAACTTGCCCACAAGAGTGGATGTGAGATCAGGCAGCATCCTCTCCAAAATACCAAGGTGTGACCAGAGGTGAGCCAGTCAGACAGGAAATGATGTTACAAAGAGGACGTGCTGAGGACATGCTACAGAGCTGCTCAGCCCAACAAAGAATATAGGTGGGTCGAGAGAGACACTTCATGTGGGCCCCAGCCACCGAGAAAGAGAAGGAGAGACAGAAGTTTATGAACATGAACATGTTGATGAACATACAGAAAAGGGAGCAGGAGTGAAAGAGGCGGAGAGAGTCAATATAAGTGCAAGTCCATGAGAGAAGAAGAGAGCGAAAGAGATTATGTGTGTGAAGGCAGGATAGGAGCCTGGCACGAAGAAGAGAGTGAAGAGTGGAATGGAGGACAGAAGGGGCATGTGGATGTGTGAGTGAGCATGTAACATAGGAGGACGAGGAACAAGCAGAGAGCCAGATAGTGGACAGAAAAAAATACAAGGGTAGCAGCAAGAGACAGGAGTAAGAAAAGCATCACCTGTGGTGAATTAAGAGACAAGAGATTCAAGCTGAAGAAAAGGGGACAGCAAGCATGACCAAAGAGGAAGAGGGCAGTGTGTATGGAGGACCTGGGCTGCCCAGACAACAAGACGCCACTCTTGGCCTTGCTGAAGAAAGAAAGCAATACATTTGGCACCAGCCGTGTCTTAAGGACTCCACTCCGAATCTGTGTAGGCATTACTCTTTAGCCTTCCTGAAAGAAACATAAGAGAGATGCTGGAGCTCTGAAGGCACCTGGAACCAGAGGAGCCAACTCCTAGGAGCGGTGGGAGCTTCGCCCCCCCCCTAAAATATTTGAGGAGGCAGCCCCCCCCTTCAAGTTGATGGGCATTGCCATTCAAATGGTGTGTGTGCACTGTGCCATGTGATCAATTATGTGGGGGGGGGGCTTACCTCCCCCCCACACACAATATTTTATTTAAGCTGGCATCCCTGTTTGGAACCCACAAGAAAGTAAGACACTGGACTTTTCTGTGATAAGGGAAATGACAGGGAAAGTGTGGAAAGTGTGAGATAACCCCGGCTGGATGCAATGTCATCTAATCTCCCCACAAACAAATCAAAGTGAATGCTCAGTAAGTAGCTAATATTACATGATCTCCTTGCAAACTCATCAGGATGAATGCTCAACAAGCAACATTGTCACCTCATTACCACCAACCCTTGAACAGTGAGAAGGTTGGTCCAAAGTGATCCATGTGTTTATGGGGGCTTCCTTCCACTAATATTAGAATTTGCTGTGTAAAACTGCACCAAGTGGCATCAAAAGAGTCTGAGACTACATGCCAGCCTCAATTGCAGAGTTAACTTAGCAGAATCTATTAAGAAGCATGTTATTTCTTTGATCTTCTTCTTCTTCTTTTTCTGCTTCTTCTTTTGTGTCCTAGATTTGAATCCCTGACATCTCTAGGTAGGACTGGGAGAGACACCTGTCTGAAATCTAGCCACAAGACCCACTGCCAGTCATTGTAGACAATACTGAGCAAGAGATGGATCAATGGCCTGTCTCATTATAAGGCAGCTGCCTAAATTCCTATGTACAGTGGTACCTCGGGTTACATACACTTCAGGTTACATACGCTTCAGATTACAGACTCCGCTAACCCAGAAATAGTACCTCGGGTTAAGAACTCCTGCTTCAGGATGAGAACAGAAATTGTGTTCCGGCAGTGCGGCGGCAGCAGGAGGCCCCATTAGCTAAAGTGGTGCTTCAGGTTAAGAACAGTTTCAGGTTATGAACAGACCTCCGGAACGAATTAAGTACTTAACCCGAGCTACCACTGTACATGCTTAGTTTGTGTTCAGGGACATCCTGGTATATCCAGAGACTATAGACTTGTTATGCCACCTCATTGCAGTAAATTTTGAAATGTTTTGCTAATAACAAGAGCAAGAGTAATCAGTTACAATCAGAGACAGAAGTCTAGCCTAAAGAGAATACCACCATAGACCATACATTTTCAAAGGTCCAGCATTTGCTACTAGAAAATGGGGCAACATTAGTCACATTGTGGACTTTCCCCATGTGATCTGCGCTTTCTAATATTGCTTTGTGGCATGGAAGGAGAAAGAAACAAATGAGCATCAAATGTCATTCCTGCTTTGATCTACCAAATCCTTAGGCAGAGCTGCTGCATGGTATGGCGGGTGCCATTTTCTCTGTAGTTTGTGGCAAGGCAAGAAGTTTGGAGTTATTGATCTGATATATCTGTGACTCACAACATAGTGACTGTGGACATCTGACAAGGTTCCCTGTCCCTCCCCATTTTTATTTTTATTTAAGTTGGGGGTTTTGGTTTTGTTTGGTGCTGTGATGTCTATCTGGGGGGGGCAAGTTGCCTGCTCCCCCCCTTGGAATATTTGTTCTGGAATTTGTGTAGGCATCTTGGCTGTTTGGAGGGAGGGGTTCTGAGCATTTCCAGGTTTCCTTCTGTGAAATGGGTATCCTATAAAGTTGGGGACCCCTGTGAAACAACAGGATGCAACAGCTTTTGCCATCTTTTTCCATCAGCTCTACCATACATGCTGCAGCTCTTGAGAGCTGTAGTTCCAAGCATCTGAAGGGCACCAGCTTGGAAAAGGTTGCAGTATATAGTTCAATACAATACAGTCACTACAGCCTGTTTCTTGAAAGAAGTGGTGCAGTCCATAACAGAAGGAAAATGTTGCTCATTGAGTCTGGTTAAAGGCAATTTCTCTGCTATAGACTATCCTCCTTTCACCACTGGTGAAGACCACATAGGCTGGTGAGAGCTGGTGTAGAAAAGTCCCATTTAGCATTTCACCCCTGCCATGAATTCAGTTGCTGGCTTTAGGCAAGCCACTCTGCCAGCCTCAGCTCCCCCCACCCCACTTAACAATATGGTAAATAACAATACTTTACAGGACCGTTGTAAGGACTGCAATTGGATAATGCATACGGTGCACCATATAAAAACAGCACTCTTTTTTCTCCAATGAAATGAACATGACTCCCCATTCCCCCACTTTTGCATTGCAATTAACTGGTGTTGCTACTGCCATCTTAGACACAGATTTAGTCTTCGGTTTTGCCCCCTCCCTATTTCAGATAGGCTATATGCCTTTTTAAAAAAAAAAATGGTTAGAGAGTTGCTTATACATTGAGCTATGTAAATAAATGTTAATTTGGCAACAAATTATTTTTATTTTTATTTAATCAATATTATTGAACTGGGAAATGTGGTCCAAAGAAGCGGGGTAGGGTGGGGGTAGGAGAGTGGCATCACGGATGCTGGCCAATCAGCACTAGACACAGCTAATTTCTATTGCAAATGGGCAGAGCCAGTTGCCCCTTGAGCTTGAGCTCCAAAAGAAAATGAGAAAATGGCACATCTGAACAAAATTTAGCAAGACACTATATATGCCAGTCTGCACTCCGAAAGCAGTCCCCCCCCCCCCACCTCTGGGAGCCTGATGGGTGTCTTTATTCCACGCTTCGCCTTTATCCCACTATCCACAGCACCTGCTACCAGTATCTTGGCAACACACATTGTGACTTAAGCATCCCATCCCCCATTCAATGGCACCTAACTTGACATTTGGAACGACTTCCTTATTGCCTGGAAAGGCGCTCTCTCTCTCTCTCTCTCTCTCTCTCTCTCTCTCTGTGTGTGTGTGTGTGTGTGTGTGTGCTTTTGCAAAACAACAGTTGTCAAAATGAAATGGTGGGGAGGAAACAAACACACACCCCGCAACTCACTTCCCCCTCCTCCACTTTTCCAGGTTAAGATGAACCCCATGAAAGATCTAATAAGCAACTCGCAAACTTAAAAATCCACCAGGCTCCTCAAATTCCTCTGGGCTAGGATGTCCTTTCAATGAAATCAGCCTGCATGAAAGAGACTGCGTTACTGTTTGTGAATGTACCATCTCTGCACATTACCTACGCTCCGTTGCATTGTGTTTGTATGAATGGGGGTTACATGTGCTTGCCCACACGTCCACGTGAGGCTTGGGAGAGGAATGGTGGTGTGCGTGCGTGTGTGCTTCTACAAAGGAAACTGAATGGAGAGGAGGGGAGAGTGAAACAAGCTGAGCTTAAAGGAAGGATCTATTCTGAAGGATATCCTAAAATACCCCTTCCCTCCCCCGCCCTCCGCCCCGGGTCGCCCTATCCTCCCAGCTAGACACCCCTGATCAGAAATCAAGATGCAGCGCAATTCATTGCCAATTCTTGCCCCCCCTCGGGGGGGTCTCGCTAGATCAATATCTTTTGCCTCTCTGATCTCCTGTGGACACCCTTCAATGGCTCATGTAAAGGCTAAAAACAGAAAGATGCTACACAAAAGATACTGCAGTCAGCTCAAGCAAGGGGTTATTTTTAGATCAGAAAAGGGGGAGGAGGAAGGGGGGGAGAGAGAGAGAGGGAGGGAGGGAGGGAGGCTGGTCTGGGGTTTGCAATCTAATTTGATCCCCCCCCCCTTATTTCTATCAATGGTATTTTCCATACAATTTTATTCTTTCTTTTTTCATTATTTCTTTCTTTTCTCTCCCTCCCCCCTTTTTCTATTCCCCCCTTTTTGCTCCTAAGGAGGGGGTTTGTTTTGGGGGGTTGGGGGAAGAGAGCGCAGCAAAGCTTAGCTGAAGATTCTGGAGTTTTATAGCTCATTCCAGCTAGTGGCCTCTCTCTGCCAGTTGAATTAATTTGATACTATTTTTGAAAGTCAGTGTTTCTAAGGGAGACCTAATGACGCAATGACGTCAATGCAGGTCAATAGCACACACTGGAGGAACTGACTGTGCTATCGGGAGCCAAGGGCTGGGAGCCTTTTCCAAGACACACACACACACCAGCTATTGCACATACACATATACACGCACAATTTTGCAAATAATAATGATGATAATACTAATAATCCCCGAGTGGGGCGTTGAGCAGCGTGTATATATGCCCCCCATATAGTCATTATGAATATGCCCCCCCAACAATTAAAAGCAATGATGCTTGCTTGCTTTTTGCACGCACCTACACCCCCCTTTAAAAAAAACTCTTTTAAAACTGGGATCAGACGCACTGCAGTGCAAAAAAACAAACAAAAACATCCCTCTTTTACCTGTCAAAGCAGCGTTATTGATACACACACACACACATTTGGCTTGTGAATGCAATGCACACACAGCATTAGGAGCCTATAAATAGAGCTCGCGAAGGTGCGTGCATTGGCAATTTACTCCCCAAACGGTCGCGCGGGGGGGGGGGGGGCGGAGGAAGGGAGGGAGGCTTGCGAACGTGGGTGGTGAGTTATTCTGCTCTGATCAGTTACTCAGGAGGTGCCTGGATTGGTGGTGTGGGGGTGGATGCGTGGGTGGGAGGGTGAGTGGGAGGGGGGGTTTGCTTCTCTCTGTCTCCAAGTCAGGCAGAGAACACGAACTGATTTTTTTAGGGTTGGTTTTTTTTTGGTGGGGTTTTTTTTTTTGCCTTTCTCCTGGAAGAGTACAGAGACACACATTTCGCGAAATCTACACAGCCTTTTGCTAGGGTGCACACACCGCTCCAAACGCTGGAGTTTTTATTTATGTAATCTCCCCCCACACCCTTTTCTTCCCTTCGCAGTCTTCTCGCCAAAAAATTCCCTAGAAAACCAGCTTCTAAGGCGTGTGGGGAGGAAATCGGTTGTGTGTGGGGCTTCCCCCCTTTTTTTCTTTTTAGGTGGGGGGTGTTGTTGTTTCATTTGATTTCTATTTCATTGTTTTGGTGGTTGTTCTTTTCTTTGGCTTTTCCGAAATGCTTTTTGTTTTGTTTATTTTGACACCCACCCAACCCCCCTCTTTCGCACACATAAGTGGAGAAGATGTGGCAAGGTAGGTCTCTCTGCACTCTGTCTCGCTCCCTCTGTGTCTCTGTTGTGTTTGTGTGTGGTGTGTGCACTTGTGCTTTTGCTTTTTGCAAAGTTTTCTGATTTCAGTTGCCGGATGCTTTTGCAAAGAGCAGACTTTGCTGATTTGCTGTTGCTGACTGCCTTTTGGAAAGCTGCACGATGCATTGGCCAGCAAACCCTCCCTTTAGGAAAGCAACAAGGAGGGGAAAGTTCTCTAGACTGCCATGGGTTGTATTTGCAGTGTGTTGAATTGTGTTTTTTGCAAGGGGAGAAATTAAAAGCGGTGGGGTGGGGGAGCATGCCACCTTGGGAGGATAAAGGTGATAGATCTCCCTGCCCAATCTTTTTAAAAAGCCCTGTCAAAATTGGGGAGAGGGAATACATATACATGAATGAAGTTTCCACCCATCTGGGGCAGACCTTGCTGGTCTCAGTTTGCTATACTGGGGCAAAGGGGAGAAGTGCTTTATTAATGAATGAAATACTGATTACATAAAAGCTGTGCAATGTTGCTGCAGAATCAGGGCAAAGGTAAGGAAAGAAAGATATTTTGGGGGCATAGAGGGATTAGCCAGCAAACTCTCAGATGGGCTATATAGAGGCAGAATGAGATGTGGGTCTATAGGGAGAGGAAACCAGGACTCCAAGAGTCTTCTTTGATGCAAGAGTGAGAAACTGCCACAGTCTCCAACCACCTGTAGAGGGAAATCTTTATACACAATAATTCCCCCTCCCTCATAGCGGTGTCTAGAAGAAAATGAAAGAGAACAACCAATTCCAAACTTTGGTGGGAATGCAAGAGCCAGATTTATTCAGGGGTGTCTGCAAATTGCCCATACTCTTTTTGGCAATTCTCTGTTGGCTCACAGGAAGCCAATGGGAAACAACACACCGATCCTTTGGCACCCACTCGGGCTGTCTTCAGTGCCGTTCCTCTTGAAGAAGTGAATAGCAACAGATGTCTTGCCCGAGAAGTTCTGATTTATCGTTCATTTCAAGGTGCTTTCAGGATAGTGGCTATTCCAAGCCTGTGTTTTTGTTCTTTGTAAAGTCAGCCCTAGAAATTAGTAGCTATCACGACTGCAGTCCTGAGCATACTTTAAACTAGGGTGCAAGTCCCACTGAACTCATCTGGCACATACTTGTGAGTTAGCATGGTTAGGGGCACATGGCACTCTGTCCAGGAGAATGGGGAAGATCCTGGTTTTTGACCACCCCTTTGCCCCAGGGAGAATTTGGTTCAACTCCAGGTTGATTATGAACAGGGAGTCGGGAAGGAAGAGAGAGATAGCAAGCAAGAGAGATTTTACTGCTACTTGTGGTGTTGACGCTACAACATCTTTTAACTCTGCTTACAGTGACCCTGATTCTGACAGTTGTGTGTACACTGGGAGCTGCTTCATTAGAATCCCATGTAGAACAAACTGTGGATTCAGGGACAGGAGCTGCAGAGTGGAAGGCTACCATCGCATAGTGGTAGACTGAATATTTCAGCTTACGCCTGAAAAAGACTCGGAGAGCTGGGAGTCTTAAACCTAAAGTTCATGTTTATGGCACTGTAGGATGGAAGAGCAACAGTATACAGACCTACGGTGGTGAACCCAACATTGTAGTCAAAAGACCGGTGCCTCAGTCGTGCTGTGACGTCAAAGGCTGTAACGTGCCTAGCTTTAGTCAAGGCTTTCAGTCCTCTTTGGAGTCTTGCTATCAGGGCCGATCACATATTTCTCTTGATTTGCAATGATGCATGGACTGCGCTTTAGGTTATAAACTACCAAACACCCCTCAAGTCACAATGCTAATTTAAGTACCCTTTGGTTTCTATGCCTTATCTTATATAGCCATTTATGTCCTGAAATGGATACATGCAGGCTAAGCCACAATATCCCTCGCATCAGCAGTCAGATTCACTGTAGAACGTAAAGTCTACAATAGTCATCTCTGGCTGTTTTGAGTGGCTTAATGAATGGTGGCAAAGGGCAGAACAATGGTTGATTTCCCCCTGCTCTCTTCATTGTTGCACCAGGTGGCTTCAGTCATTACGTGCCATAAGACTTCTTCATAAGGCTTGGTGCCACTAGTTGGACAGCTGTTGCTTCTGTTAAATTGTTGATCTTCTCAGACCTACCAGAAGTGGTCCACCCTCCTGCCCTGCCACCTCACCTGGGGGCTTCAAATCGGAAAACACAAAACCAAATCCAAGTTTACATGAAACTTCCTGATTTGTCAATCAAATTCTGCTCTGGGCAACTCATTTTTGCCGTATCCACAGTTAGACAATTAGACGATGCTGTATCTAGTGAGCTATGGTTCTGCTTCTTGGGTCTCAAGCTGAATGAAACCATAATGGGTCAATGGCATAACATTTTAGGGCAGCCCTAGGTGATGGGAGCCTTTCTTAACAGGAACAATTTACGAGCTCTTTTCATGGACGCTCTTAGTTGCAAACCTGGACACAGCTATGCCTGTATCAGTCCCATTCAACTTAATTGGGCTTATGTACAGTGGAGAATTGAAGCCATGAAGAGGAAACTGATGCATTTGGTCCATGTTACTGACAATGAAGTGATTGACTGGTAGCCATGGAATAAACCCGGAATCAAAAGAGTATGAACATATAAGGGACCGTTTTGCAAAGGTGAAAACATACTTCACTTTAGTGCAGAAGAACAGAAATAGAGAATGGTGCTCAATCTGACCAAAAGAAGAAGAAGAAAGAAAATACACGGATTAGTAAAGGGTGCTGGGAGCACTTGAGATTTTATAAAAGAAAATGAGGTAGCTACAATGGGTCATATTGGTCGTGATGTACAGAACTCTGGCTTTTCACACACATTTGCTAAAAATAGCCGACAGAGTGGCATCTGATGGAAAGACCTGCTGGCTAAACATTATATCCGTATGTACAATTATGCATCACTACAATACAATAAACCAACCATCTCTTCTATAGGTGAATAATAGTTTACCCCTTTCACAGCTTGTAGTGTACTATCACAAGAAGAGTCTTTTAGTTTTTTTACTGCAAATTCCAAAAAGCAGAGCTTAACTCGTTAAACTTTTTCTCTTTCATATTTGAAATATAAACATGAATAATCTAATGATAAATAACTAGGAAACTGTTACAATGCAAAGTGGATAATATAGTGAACCTTTCATTTAAACATATAATAACACCGTGTAGATATTTCAGGCTGCAACCCTACACTTACCAGAAAGTAAGCCTCATTGAACTCAGTGGGACTTAGTTCTAAGTAGGAATGCATGTTAATATATGAAAATAAAATTATATTGTTGGCATCTGGATGTACACCCCAAAGGTAGGTAACCTACCCACACATTGTTTCTGCTTTCATATACCTCACCGAATGATGACAATTACAGCTATTCCTAAGAAAATTCATTATTCAGCAATTCCTCCAATACTTTATGGCTGCCAGGCCACTGTTAACTTAGAAACAAGTGATCTAAACCCACCGAGGAGCCAAAAACCCAGAAAAAGTTCTATACACTTACTTGGGTATATGACATCTTACTTTTCTTTGAGTCTGTTTTTGGATTTCCATAAGCCATATGAAAGACATGGCAGGTCTATGATGAACCGCAGTCCAGCACCTACGATTTGGAACACATCTTTCTACTGTCCCACATTGGCATGGGCAGTCTTTGTTCGGCAGCCCTGCCTGTTCTCGGACTATTCAGAGTTTAAGGAAGGTGGGTGTGAAAAATAAGAAGAAATGAAAAATGAAAAATATAGGGTTGGATGTCCAGCACAACAAAGGATAGTGTAAAATTATAGCTGAGAACATGGCATCTGGTGGCTACCCTAGTATACATCATGGACACACACACACACACACGCAAAACCAAATGAAGAGGAGGATGTCATGCTCTCTGAGTATAACTGAACATTTTTGTTCAAGGCTTGATGCTGTGATAGACAGGTAATGCCTCTTCTAACAGCACAGCACATTTTTAAAGGCCAGACCACACAATAATACAACTACCATATTTCTATTTATGCCATGTCCATTCTTTCATCAGCTGATGACTTCTGTCCTAGCCACTGACACTCCCCTAATTTTTGGTACATCAGCATTTGCTGCTGCTGCATCACTATGACTAGAGGTAGAAGCTTAAGGTTACTGCCTAGCTCACTGGAAATAACTGGTATGGTCCAGGAGCCATGCTCCCCCATCAAGGCTTTGTCACCAGTTGCTGTATGTCCAATATGACACTGCCTATAAGCCACAGTGAGGCTTGGGCCTGATATTTTACTTACTTATTATCTATAAAATTATAGGCCGCCTTCTGGGGACTAACCCTCTCAATATGCCTTACATGTCATAAAAACACAATGCAGATTCTAATTACCAAGGCAGCAGTATTAACTATCATTTTAAATGCACAGGTCGGTTAAGACTGATAATAAATATCTCAGAAGAAATAAAAAAGCTATGCATTCTAATATAATCCTCTGAAATAAGGCCTTATGAGAAGGCAACCCACAATAAATGGGTTGTTAAAACCTTTTTAAAGTTTGCCTTTTTAAGGGCATCTGCACCACTTGGCAGGCAGGAATACATAATCTGAAGGCCACTACAGATTGCCTTGGACAAGCCATCAGTGCTCAGATCTGGTTTTCCTGGTGTAAATTAGGAAAGATATGCGTTCATAGAACATGAGTTCACAGGAACATGAAATGGATTATATACTTTTCATTGAACCAGTTAATGTTCAAATGAATGAATGTGAGAATTGAATTTACACCAAACCATTCAGAAATGAATATTCAAAGCAAACTTAATACATACACTGACTAGCATGCTATATCACCAGGTTGGGGAACATTAGGCCAGTGAAACTACTAAGCCTCCTTTCTTAAAAATACCCATCTTCATAAAAATAACCCTAACCCTAATAATTGCACTGATATCTACTAATTAAAGGGTCTACCAAGGGTCATAGATATTGTTGTCCATCCAAGCAGCTTTTCTGCAGATGAAACTCATTCATTGTTTTCTGCCAGGCGGACAACCCTACTGCCATTTCCTTTTTCTCCCCAAACACACATCATTCACTACTATGACTAAAGATTTTGGTCCACGTAATACAGAATTAGATCCCTAGATTGAACTGCTGTTTTATGTCCAGGGCAATTTAGACAACAATTCTGATAGTATGTATAAGCAGGCACATAGATTCATTGTTTCAGTGCCAGTACAAACGATGGGATCATAGAATTTTAGAGCTGGAAGGGACCCTGAGAGCTACCTTAACTCCCTGCAATGCAGGAATCTCAACAAAAGCATCCATGGCAGATGGCCATCCAACCTCTGCTTAAAAGCCTCCAAGATATATCCTATCTTTCAGCACAAGGTGTCCAAGGCAGCTAACAATAAAAATATACAAATAGAATATGAAAGCAAATACTGGAAAAATAATAAAAACAACAAAAAACCAAAGAAAGAGCAGGTGAAAACATCAAAGCAATTAAAAACAACCATGAAGTCTAAATTCTCATTTAACTATGAGTAACCAGCTGAAGAGTTGAAATATTTGACTGATGGTCAAGGGCTGTGTCCTGCTTAATATTTTATCAAATACATTATGGCTACTTGACTGGTAATGACAATAGATCATTCCTCTACTTGCTGTCAACAACAAAAATATATGGAGGTTTTTGCCAGGTTTCACTTAAAAAATAAATAAATTACTACTTATTTTCAGTCAAGAATTCCCTGACTGAAATCTACCCATAAAATCTTTTTATGGATCTTTCTTAAAAGTCTTCATTGAAGAAGAGTTTGTCTAGACTTCTCCATTCCTCACACCCCATCACATCCATTGTTGCTGGATATAGAAAATGGTACCAAATACCGTTATGCTATGTTGGAAATTGAAAAAGAATGGTGCTCAAGAAGGCCTTAACACTTAACAAATTTCATATTTACATATACTAAAGAAGCAGTTATGTTATTCTCAGTGTCTCTACGGCACTGATAGTTAAATTTCTTGCCTTCAAGGAACCCTTTTGAAAGGAATCTTGTCACCTTCCAGATGTTGTACTGCAATACCCACCACACTGACCATTGGCCATACTAGCTGTAGATGATGGGAGTTTGTTTATTTCATAAAATTAATATACCACTTGAGAAAAAATAACCCTCAATGCAATTTGCAGAAACAATAAAATTATCACTAAAAAATTACAACCATGATTTAAAACATACAGAAAGTTAAAACCACAATAGAATAGACTAGATCAAATAAAATTTCATACAAACTTCCTAAACATCTAGGTAGGCTTGTCTAAATAAGAGCTGGAGTCCAACTGCATCTGGAAGACTACTAGTTCTCCACCTTTGTTCTAGAGTAATAGGCTGCAACTTTATATGCTCCAACATTTATCCGGTGAAAACAGGGACGTCCCATTCTGTGATGATAATTTTACTATTTATACCCCACACATTTTACTGGGTTGCCCCAGCTTCCATCATCCATAAAAACATAATAAGACATTAAACATAAAAAACACTTCCCTCTACAGGATTACCTTCAGATGGCTCATGGGTTGGATAACTCCATACCCTCTAACATTTTTCCAATGAAAATAGGGACATCTTAAGGAAAAGTGGGACATTCCAGGATCAAATCAGAAACCAGGATGGCTTCTCTAAATCAGGGGCGTCCCTGGAAAATAGGGACACTTGGAGGGTCTGCAACTTAAGTTCAGACCTAGGACTCACCCTTAGCCCAAACATGCATAATGAAACCTGCTTCTTAATTGGTTTTGCCATGAATATGCATGGTTGTAGTGATGCTACCCAGTTGTGAGTCCTGTGCTGTACTTTATCTGAGTACTGTTCAGCCTGCCATTAAGCATTGTGAATGGAAGCTAAGGCCATAAACATTCCCAACACATCCCTGTGAATGAATGTTGCAGGAGGAAAAGACTGGGGATAGAGGTCAATATATCTTTTTGGGAAATTTGTCTGCTGCTATTGATCTTCACGTTGTGGAACCCCTGATAAGTTTTTGAGGAACCTAACAGTTTTGAAAACCAGCATTTTACATTTCTTGTGAAATAATGACATTCTAAGCTTTCTTAACTAGGCATGGTGAAAAGTTTAATTCAGTCTGCATTTTAAAGCAAACTGACCTCATCTGCCTCTCTTGGATTCGAATGTAATTATGCTTCATGTTCCACACTTTTGCAGTATGGTTATCAGTTCAAAATAAAAATAAAAATGCATAAAAATAAGTAGGATAAAATAGTTTAGTAGAGCATAAAATGCATTTTAAAACATATCTTGTAATAAAATATGTATTTAGACACAAGTATTTATATAGATTTTTATTTTTTATTTTTTTTAAAAGCAGATTTGTGTGGAAATGGGGTAGAATGGACTTACGAATAAACATGTGCAAAAATCGACATGAATCGGAAACAGTCTCATCCATCTATCCCTATTCATGTTCATGGCTCTAAGAGCATTTCTAGGCAAATATCCATTCAAAATGCCTTATAATCAAAAACAACAAAAGATAAAAAGATCAGGGATACAAAAATTAAAAACTTAAATCTACAACTCAGCAACAATCCACATTTTTTTTAAAAAAAACTGCATCAGAAAAAACATAGATCAACCAGATCATCAACCCAGATAATAAGGATCATGGCTAGAAGTTTAACTGAA